AGGAAACCGATCAACAAACTGAGAATTTAAAACTTTTTCTGAAAATCGGAAACGGACCAAAAAAAAGAGGAAACGGACCCAAAAAAAAGAGGAAACCGATCAACAAACTGAGAATTTTAAACTTTTTCTGAAAACCGGAAACAGACCCAAAAAATAAGGAAACGGATCGAAAATATTGGGAAATCCCTCAAAAATATTGGGAAATCCCTCAACAATATAAGACCCTGATAAACCGGAATCCGACCTAAAAATCGAGGAAACGGATAAAAAAAAACGGGAAATTCCTCTAAAAATTGGATTTGAGGGATTTCCGATAATTTTTGAAAAAACAGGAAACGCCTCAAAAAAATTCATTTTGGGGAGGTTTCCGTTTTTTTTGGGTCCGATTCCGTGTTGAGGCATTTCCGTGTTGAGGCGTTTCCATAGCACCGTGTTAAAGGCTAGTTCGCTAATAAATACGAGTTTTTTAACATAAGATTTCAATTTTTATTACTGCAAGATACTTAATTAAAAAATTAAAATTTTATAGGTAGGTAACTTTTTAATTTTTTACTATTTCGTTAACTATTCTTTGATGACACATAGTACATACCTCTTAATAATTAAATAAATTGACAACCTTTTAAAGAAAATATACATTTTTGGTCAGAAAACCCTTAGATCAAACCATATGCATAGATCAGAAAAACCTTAGGTCAGAAAACATGCAGGTCACTTATCATTATAAAAAAACATGCAAAACATTCATAAACTTTTCTTACTGTAAAAAAATTTAAATTAACTGTCAAAAACTTAAATTTATCAGCCAATTTCTTTTCAAGAAGAACATTGGAATCATCATTTTATTTTATTTTTCAAAAGTTCAAAATTAATGGCTTGTTCGTTCTGACCCATTGTTTTTTTTCTAAAAACGATACAAACATAAACAATTCCCAACCCTATTACATTCTGGAAATAAAAGTTCCGGTTCCCATTCCGTAAACAAGAAAATCTATGGTTTTCAGTAGGTTTTTGGGCAGCCCCCCTGGACGTATTCCTGAATACAAAATCAGTTACCATCTTTAACAATCAACATCTTGAAAGACATATTTAGCAATAAACCATTGGTAACAATAGCCCAAACTTAAGTAAACGTTAAAAATCTGTTTAATTTGTTCCCTTAAAAAATAAAAAAAAAGATATTTGAACAGAATGATTAGAGAAAAAGTAAGAGGGAAAGTACAACCGAGTTAAAGCTTAATTGAGCCCAGTGCTCTGACGGCAGTCACATAGAGATGGGAATGTTAAACTTTTTTCATTTCGTTCCTTTATCGTTCATCAACGACCCGTCTTGTTCTAATCATAATCGTTCAAAAAAGAATTTATTTCATTCGTTCTCAAAATTATCGCTCTTTTTCTCATTGAAAAATTGTTCAATAAAATCATTTGCTCAGTAGAAACGTTCATTCAGCAAAATCGTTTGTTCGATAAATCGTGTGTTCAGTAATAAAAACGGGAATTTAAGTCAAATAAACTTACTTTTCAGATGTTTTCTTTTCCTCATGATCAAGCGTACCTAGTAAAGATAAAATTAATAAGAGCAAAAGGAAGAAATATTTTCATCAAACTAAAACATTTTCTGAAGCTTACAGACCTAGCAAAAGCTGAGAAGGTGGCATTTAAGAATAAAATATTAGGATTACTTTTATATCAGTGATTTCAGAGCGTAAAACATTTATCCATTTTTTCAGCAGACAAGAATTAAACTACACTTGGAACCATACTTAAATATAAGCAAATCACTGTACTCTCTGGGAGTATGTGAACCAAGGAGGTTATAGTGCATGCCATATAGTGGTACGCTAATCCTTTATTAATTGTATAGGTCATGAACTATACCGAGAGCGTAATGCATATCTTTTTAATATATGGAGATTCTGGCCTAACCTAAAGTATATCATTATTAGTAAACAGTTGTAAGTGTACAGTACAGCTAACTGAGCACATAGGNCCCCGTGTAGACCAACACACTACTCCCAGACCCGGTTTAAAGAGTTGGATTAGAAGCCACAGATCTCATTATACTCCTCCCCCCCCTTTGGACATGACTGATATTTAGCCCCTAGTTTCTTTGGTTTGATCTTCTCCCAATGCAGTACATAGCTATTGCATCAGTAAAAGTTTATTTCTAGACCAGACAGACTTTCCAGATTGATCACTATTTTTACAGTTATATATTGATTCTAACGAATTAAGCCTGAACAAATCAGCTATGAACTAATGTTGTAATTAAAACAGTTCTGGAGAAACAAATGGGCTATTATCATCGAAATTATGTAATTTTTATTCAGTCATCTGCTCCTGTAATATTCGATTTGGTTGTAGGGTTTCCATTTTTCCGGAACAAAATTTCCATTTTGGAAATGGAATGATCCGTAAACAGGAATTCCGAGATAATTCCGGATCAAATGGAAACCGGAAAGTTTGCAGTTTACGTGACGTAAACCTTATAATTACCAGTTTACATTTCGTAAACATAGAAAGCAATGTTAAAACATTAAAAGTTAAAAACTATTAGTTAAAATATATTTAAAAAGCATTTTAGTTTTATGATTATATATTCACAAATATTTTACTATAGTTCATCATGGCTATTTTATAGTTACAGTTTCCACTTTCCCCGCGATATTTTTTTGAAAAATTAGTTTTTATTTTTCAAGAGGGTCATCGGATAGGCTAGACTCCCCCGCACAAATTTTTAAACCAGTTTTAAACCTTCCCTTGGGCCATGTGAATTGCTTCACAAATTTTTGGCTCTGTCAGTTTTGACGTTTATTGGATACAAATGGACAAACTAACAGACAAGTAAAGTATATAAATAGAGTGAGAACCAGAAAACTCTGGAATAGGAGGACGACTTTTAGACTTAAGTTATGACTTCAAATAGTTTAATGAACATGAGACACGTCGATTACGCAGTTCATATACTATACTGTATACAGACCAATTTAAAAGTGATTAATATTTAACTTATTTGGTTTCCAACATCAAATAGACTTAAGGATTGCTATATATAACGTCTTACTTTCCACAGTTTTCTGTAGATGAAATTATTTTGAGTAATGTCGGTCAAGATTTATATTTCATGATAATGCACAGTAAAATTACTTCAACTACAGCTACACCAGGCGTAAATTCGATCAATATGTAGAAAGTATTACTTACTGGTTTTATCTTTTACATATGTTTAAGACGACTAACGTTTTTCCGGAACGATTTTTCATAAACCGGAAACTTCCGGTACACTGTTCCGGGACGTTCTGTAATTCTGGAACAACGATCCGGAAATTTCCAGTTTACCGGGAAAAATCATTCCGAAATTCCGGCACCTTTTCTATAATGAAAATGGAAAAATTTCCGGATCATTTCCGTAAGTAAACTGTAACCCGGAATTAAGGTGGAAACCCTATTTGGTTGTAAGCTCTGACGGAAAAATCTATAAGCATTTTGCAAATTACTCCTTGAAAAACAATTTCTATAAAAAATATTAATAAGTTAGTAAGATAAAATCAAAGGCCAAGCATTACAACCCTTTCAAGTCGACCCTGCCTTAAAAATTGATGGAGTCTGGATCTATGTGCAGTGAGTTCACAAAGAAAGGCAAGAAAATTTTGTTGACAAATTTTGACTTCTTGCTTAATTCATCAGCTAAATAAAAAAGAGAAACATAACAATTATTTCAATTAGCTAAAAAAATAATCTAAATTTTAAACGCTTTTCTTTATTTTTCGTGCCAATGTACAACATTTTTTTGAAAATTAATTCTTCCTTAATTCTTCCCTAAGGTCAAGCAAGGTCCCCCAAAAAATTTGGGCCCGCTCCGTTCAGCAGTTTTTACGTTTTTTGGATACAAACAGACAGACAAGCAAAGTATATACATATAAATATCTATATATAAATTTGGCTTGTCTGTTTGTCTGTTTGTTTGTTGGTATCCAATAAACGTCAAAACGGCTGAACCGATCGGGCCCAAATTTTTTGTGAGACATCTAGGGACCCCAGGAAAGGTCTATGAATGATTGAAATTTTAAAAATTTGAGTTTAAAAGTTTTTTATTTTTGTAAAATTTTGAAAATGCGCGAAAAAAAAATTATAAAATCCGCAAACTTTTTTTTGTTTTTGTTTTATACTGTACGAAGAAAAGATGCTCACAGATTAAGCCACAATTAAAATTTTAAATAGAAGATGGGCGCGAAGCGCCCAAAAAGCCTAGAAAGAAGGGCGCTTCGCGCCCTGAATTTCTGGTATATTTATATGTAAGCTATAGCAGCAGTCAAATGGATGGAACAAATGAGCTGACATTTTTTTAGGTTACCCATGGTTACTGAGGGTGAGAGCCTGACAGGTTATAATAAATTTGAATTGAAATTCTACGGAAAATCCCGGGCACTTCTAAAATCATGATTTTTTACCAAGCGTGGGTAAATGGCAAAGTTAACTAATAATAATAATAATAATATAAACTTGGTTAATGCCGGGCACTCCAGCTAGTAAGCCATAAGAGGTTGACAACTTGTAGTTAAAATGACCTCTTCCAAAATTAAAATAGTGTTAAAACCTATTTTCAAGCCTTTCAGAAGAATTTTGGAGTTTGCTTTGAATAGTGTATTTAAATAAAATTTAATAATTGTAAATTGTAAACCCATTATGTTCTTTTAAATTGTTGTAAAAAAATTCTTACCAACATTGTGATCAGAATAAAGTTGCTTAGTGAAGGCATCAATTCTCTTCAACATTTTCTGAATAAAGTATTCTGAGATGGAATTTAAAGAATTTGAGCCGCGGTTTAAATCCGCCAAAACCCGGTTTAAATTAAGCGCCGGCTTAAATCTTGAAACATTTGATACAATTTTTAGTGGAACCAACCATATTTAAACCACGGCTTAAATTTAAACCGCTGCTCAAATTCTTTACATTCGGCCACTGGTGATTTTGTATATAACTTTTAGGTGGTTGACCTAGGTATTAAAAGATTTAAGATTTCACTTTGTGGTAGTTTTAATTGACAAGTTACTGGGTCCATCCTATTAAACATTTTTTTGAGGTCCAAAAATTGTTCTCTAATAAAATTCCGAGATTGCTGTTTCAAAGAGGTGTGAGTAGGGCTGGGCACATTCAACTTTTTTCAAGTGGTTCATTAACGCACTATGATTTAATGGTCTCAAGCTCTCAAACAAAAATCAATGGGAATATGTCCAATTAATTCTTAAAACCCAAAGCTAACATTCTAATATAGATGAAGGGGGTGTGGCCCCCCATTATTTTGCCCTTACGAGTTGAGATAGGGGAGTGTAATACATGTCCCTAGTTCAACTCCAACATTTCAAAGCCAGTTCATTAATAAAATATTAGACCTATAACTTTCATGGTTAAAAAAATACTTATTGTTCGTTATTTTTCATCAACCAATAATTTTTTCTCAATAAAGGATATTTCTGTTCATTAGCAACTTCAAAATTACGGTTTTCCCGTTCGTTAACAGACTATTCCATTTATTTTCAAAAAACTAACGTTATCCAGCCCTGGTGTATAAGGACTAATAGGTAGAGGCAAGGCATGTTTCTTCTTTTTCTAATCCGTTCGTAAGTGAAATTTGCCTTTACTTTCAAAAGCCTCCGTTTGTTCACTGAACTTCATCTCACTCTGTCATGTAGGCCCAGGCAAAATGTTTCTATTACCTTTTTCGGAATTCTAGGCTCCTCGTTAATTTTAGGAAATAAAGTGCCAGTATTTCCTAAAATTAAAAAAGTTTCATGATAAATCTCGAAAATAATCTTTCTTTTCTGGGTTTTCTAACAAAAACATTCAGGATTTTGGAAACAGTTTATAAGAAACATATAGATTATATTTTAAAAAAACTCACCACTCTGAAGGGGAGGGTACATCGAAGCAGAGACAGAATCATCACTTTTAGTTGAAGGATTGTCCAACGTCTTTGCAACACTTGCATCAGTATTCCCCTGACTAAGCATCTCAATTATCCTTGGAACTTTGGCTGAATGATGATCTGGAGACATGTTGGAATGCGAGTTGTTTTCAAGTACTTTCATTGTTGGATAGTGCTCCACATTGGCCACCAAATCATGGTCACCAGTCGAAGATTGTAAAATTAGAGGTAAAAGTACAGGATGTTCTTGGTTCAAAGAAGGATGATTGAAAGAATGTCTGGTTGAAGATTGATTTGGCAAAATTGGAGTTACTACCGTACTGGGTAAGGAAGAATGGTATTCCTGTGATGTTCTGTTTGATATTGAGTAGTTTATTACTTTAGAAGAATTCTCATCATTGGACACAAGGTAGAATTGGGACGGAGAGGAAGAAAGTGGTACCTCTCGGGAAGGGTAGGGAAGGGGCAGGTTTACTGAAGTTGTAGATTCTTCATCTGAGTTTAAGCGAATAGAGCGTCGGTTAGGAATTCTATATTTCATAGGTACACCGTTACCTAAAGTAATATGGCTAGCGGAGTAAATAAAAATCTTATTATATGGTTACCTGAGCTGAAAACCTTAGAATTGAATATCCTTAATCCTGATTGCTTCATCTGAATATCCACCATGGAATATTAGGCACTTTAGAGGATAAAGATTATAATAATCTGAAGATTAACAAAAAGAGGAAATCAAGCAATGATCATAATGTCCACAATAGTGGATATCAAGATTAATGCTTAAACTCATGGTTTTACTAAACCCAAGATTATTTTAAGGCTCATTCAATATCCAAGAAAGAAGTTAAAAATTTAACCAATCAGCGTGTCATGTTCAGATGTACTCTTTAACTTTTGAAAAACCGGTTGTGATTTCTGGTGTTGATGGTGTCATATCAATTGAACTAAACATCAATTGAACGAACGAAAGTTTTGGATTACTGTTTTTTAAGACTAACGTTCAAAATGACAAGTATCCTAAAATATGTTTTTAATAATTTAATATCAACATGATTAAATTTATATTTGTTTAAATGCTCTAACAGCCGGCTTGTGAACAGCCGACTTAAATTCAATCGGATATTAGTCCAATCAATATAGCATTATATCTGTAATTGCTATCAAACGCAAACGTAAATTTTATACAGTAGAATTATCCAAAAAAGAGGATTAAGAATAAAATCAAAAGTGTGTACATTGGATACTCAGATTAAGGGATCATGATTATGGATATCTCATTCTAAAGTTTTCAGCTCTGATCAATTAGGTGAGATGACGATTTAGGAGTAATTTTAGATTTTGTATGTTTGTCGCAAGGGTAGAGAGATTAAAACAATTACATCCCCATGACCAAAAACACTAATAGTTTTTTATATCTGTGACCTTGGACACCAAGTCCATGGTAGACAAAAATGCACGGTTGACGCGTATCAGCTATTTAACATGTCGGGTTAAAGAAGTTCAAAACCGTAACGTTCATGTAAAAATGCTCAATGGACTAAAAAAGGAGAGATTGAAGTTTGCAGCAACATATTGGGAAGGGATAGTAATTAACACTCAGGACACAATTATTCCATCAGAGGGATGGTAATTAACACTCAGAACACAATTACTCCATCAGAGGGATAGTAATTAACACTCAGGACACTAATTACTTCATCAGAGGAATGGTAATTAACACGATCAGGACACAATTACTCCATTAGAGGGATGGTAATTAACACTCAGGGCACTAACTACTCCATTGGAGGGATGGTCAATTACACTCAGGACACTAATTACTTCATTGGAGGGATGGTAATAACCACTCAGGACACTAATTACTCCATCAGAGGGATGGCAATTAACACTGAGGACACTAATTACTCCATCAGAAGAATGGTAATTTACACTCAGGTTACTGATTACTCCTTCGGAGGGATGGTAATTAACACTCAGGACACTAATTACTCCATCAGAGGGATGGTAAATGACACTCAGGACTCTAATTACTCCATCGGAGGGATGGTAATTAACACTCAGGACACTAATTACTCCATCGGAGGGATGGTAATTAACACTCAGGACACTAATTACTCCATCGGAGGGATGGTTATTAACACTCAGGAAAGAAACTAATTACTTCATCATAGGGATGATAATTAACACTCAGGACACTAATTACTTCATCATAGGGATGGTTATTAACACTCAGGACACTAATTACTTCATCAGAGGGATGGTTATTAACACTCAGGACACTAATTACTTCATCAGAGGGATGGTTATTAACACTCAGGACACTAATTAATCCATAGGAGGGATGGTAATTAACACTCAGGACACTAATTACTCCATCGGAGGGATGGTAATTAACACTCAGGACGCTAATTACTTCACCCAAGGGATGGTAATTAACACTCAGGACACTAATTTATCCATAGGAGGGATGGTAATTAACACTCAGGACACTAATTACTCCATCATAGGGATGGTTATTAACACTCAGGACACTAATTACTTCATCAGAGGGATGGTTATTAACACTCTGGACACTACCCTACTAATCCGAAAACTTAAAAATACGTAAGACATACATATATATACATATTTTTAGGTTTAGGAATACGAAAAATATGTATTTTCCATGCGTATGACGCACATATTTTCATAACCATTTCTTTGGTAAAAATACGTTGACAAACGTAAAAATGCGTATGTAAAAAATCTAAAAATCCAATGAATCAGGAATTTTTAGGTTTTTCGTATACGTAAAAATAGTATTTGATATCTGTAAAAATACGTAGATGAATAACATAAAAATGCATATGTAAAATACATAAAAAATCCAATGAATCAGGAATCTATAGGTTTTACCATACATAAAAATACTTATTTAATATCTGTAAAACTACTTATATGACATGTGTAAAAATGTGGATATAAAAAACCTAAAAAATCCAATGAATCAGGATTTTTTAGGTTTTTCCTTTTCGTAGATTTAGGTTTGAAAAAATTCTAACATTTCTTAATTTTTGGAATTTTTAGGTTTTAACTATACGTAAAAATACATATTGTTCAGAAGTGTATTCAAGGGGGGGAATGGGAGGTAATTCCCCCCCTGGACCAGTGAACTCAGGGGGGTTTCAGACCCCAACACTCAACAGGTATATAATTCCACAAATTTCTAAAATCCATATTCATTGATATTAATTATTTTTAATCCAATCCAATGTTTTTTCTACAGAAATTCACACCATCAGCATTCCTTCATCTGCATCCATCTAAATCAACATTCATATATGCATTTTGTCTGTATTTTCAACAATTATGTATTCAATATGTGTTATACTTTAGTTACCATTTTACCTGTTACAAAACTGTCAAAGTAAAACTTCTATTTATCAAAAAATCGAGAATTTACTGACATTAATTCTAATGAAAACATCAATTTACTATAAAATTGCATTTTCCAAAATGCTTGCATTAAATTTCTTACAGAGCAATCCTCTTAAAAAGAGTACAAAATATTTTCGAATTCTAACTTAAAAATGCATTTTTGTGCAGTTGGTATGAAATTTACGAAAATATACGTATTTTTAAGTTTGCCTCAAACTTTATAACTCTAAAATAAAAAATTAAGTAAAGAAAAATACGTAAAAATATGTATAGTAAAAACCTAAAAACTTTACGAAAATATACATATTTTAAAGTGTGCATCTAACTTTTAAACACTTTTGTAAAAAAAAAACACATTTTAAAAGTAAAGAAAAAACTAAAAAAAATACGTAAAAATACGTAAAACAAAACTTGAAACATTTCTTGGTATGAAATTTACGAAAATATATGTATTTTAAGGTCTGCATCAAACTTTCAAACTCTAAAAAAATACAATTTTTTAAGTAAAGAAAAAACATTAAAATTGCGTAAAAATACGTAAAATAAAATCCTAAAAATTTATAAAAATTTCTTTGTTAAAAGTATACGTAATTTCTCGTATAAATACGTTTCTGGAGAACCAAAGCATTAAAAAAATGCTTGTTATGATAAATACGTAAAAAACGTAAATATACGTAAGTTCTTAACCCAAAAGTTGAGCATACATATTTATACGTAAAAATAGTACCTATTAATATGTATACCTATATAGAGACTTTGGTATTTTTAGGTTTTCGGGTTAGTAGGGTAATTACTCCATCAGAGGGATGGTTATTAACACTCAGGACACAGACTACTTAATCATAGGGATGGTTATTAACACTCAGGACACTAATTACTCCATCAGAGGGGTGGTAATTAACACTCAGGACACTAATTACTCCATCAGAGGGATGGTAATTAACACTCTGGACACTAATACTCTATCGGAGGGATGGTAATTAACACTCTGGACACTAATTAATCCATCGGAGGGTAGGTAATTAACACTCAGGACACTAATTACTCCTTTAGAGGAATGGTAATTAACATTCAGGACATTAATTTACAACAGTACACTCTCCAAAAATCGTTCTCTAGGAAATTACCGAATTAGTTATACATGTTTTTGTTCATTTAAACTCTTTATTTTCATTTGTGGTTACTCTGAAAAAAATGACTTGCGGATTTATTGTTTGTAAAGAAACAACAGAGAAATTCACAGAAGAAAATACACCCTTTTCCAGTCAAAAAAAAAAAGCCGTTATCTTCTAATTTCTAATCAAATATAATGTTTAAGGTTACCAATGTATACTTTGTAAATCTGACATTGCTATTTTTGCATTGAGGGTAGCATGAAACTACGTGTATTCAGTCCATTTAAGCTCATGAAATAAATCTATAATGAACTTACATAATCCAAATAATACGAAGGCTAAAAAAAGATTCTCATACATTCTCATCTGAAATTAAACTTATAAAATGTATTATGATGTGTGCTTTGTACGTATGACCACAATTATTCGTGGGGGGACGACACCCTCCAAAGTAAAATTCATTGCTTTTTGCTAACATATGACGTCTCCCACAGCAGCAGTCCAAAATACAGTGAAACACGACCCTCTAGGCGAAAACAAACGGAAAGCCTTGTAAAATTAGATTATATTTGCGGACACATTCTTTTGACGACATCTAATGACGACAACACTATAAGAGTACAGAGGCATATACAATTGCGTCTTAATTACGCCCGTTAATTTGGGAGAATTCGGGCTCAGTCAAGGGCGTATACAGAAATAAATAAAGGGGGGGGGGGGAAAAATTTGAGCTAAGCGCCAAAAAAATTTGCCCCCCTAGAAGCTCCTAAGCGAGGGGGGCAAAATTTGAACGGTAAATACAAAACATTTGGCTTCTTTGATATCAGGCAATAAGTATAATTGCTATAAAGGTACACATACAGTCCAGCAAGGGCGTATACAGGGGGGGCAATTAGAAGTCCGAATGAAAAATCTATATTTAGAAAGCAGATTCTAAATAGAAATAGGTGGGGGCTACGCCCCCACCTATACAGGTATAGGGGGCACTGCCCCCCTTGTAAACGCCCTTGGGCTCAGTGAACAGTTCACAAAACGGAATGCAAATTACACCTTGAATCCGTTTTGGGCCAAACCTAGGCAGGGGCGTACGAGGAGGGGCACCCATAAAAAACTTTAAAAAGATCTCACTTTTGCTCTAAGCTAAAAAAGTTATATTAAGAAAGCTTTATCAATACTGCCTTCAGTGTAAAAATATTTTTAAAATCATTATTTATAACTATATAAAATATGTGATCGTTCCTATGAAAATAAGATATATTTTAAGACGTTTCCATCTCTATTTTTCACCCATTGAAACTTTCACCACAGTATAAAGAGTGGGTGCTATATTTAGTTTGAACTACTGCCGTCATTATCAGTAGTTAGAATGAACAATAGTTCAAACGATCAATAGTTCATAATCATATGATCATAGTTCAAACGGCACTTGTTATATGGGAGTGTGCAGTATATGATCGAATAGTTTACATAGTTAAAAAATTTCTCAAAAAGGGGGTTTTAAAAGGGGGCACAATGTTGCTAATAGGGCAGGCACAAAATTTTTTTATCGCGCGCGCAAAAAGTGCACCCCATTCCCCCCTACACAAATTTTCTCGTACGCCCTGAAGCTAGGCATGATGTAATAGAATTTAGCAGATGTTATGGACGAGACTTTTTTATCAAAATAGTTTTTCATTCAAGTTTTTCATTAGTGTACAACCCTCTTCAGTCTTCACTTCCGTTTCATTTCCCCTTTTTAATTGATCCCCCCCCCCCCACTCCCTTTGCCTTCCTTTAGAACACCAAGAGTTATTTCCTCCTCAACTGCAAAAATTTCACTTAATATTGAAAAGAAACAAACACTGCAGAGTACAGTTGTACAGTACAATGTAACGCATATAAATAATAAATATTGGCCAATTTCTTAGACGCTCTACCATAGGTAGAACCATGTCACACTATGGTTACGCTTTACCAGAGCAGTGTAGATAGATATATACGACCTATAGTTGTACCTATGGTTAAATGAATAAGATATTGGCCATATGTTTAACAATTTGTCCAATAATTGTGTAAGCTGCGTTCAGGCCCGTAACTAGGATTTTTCCAGAGGGGGTGCAAAGAAGCGCCCCGCCGGTGAAAATTTTTTTTTTTTTTTTTTTTTTTAAAGCAATGCTTGGTTTGTTTTTACGGTGGTATATGGTTTTCTTTATTACATTGTCAATGTACGCTATAAAGACTAACCTTTTTAACAAGTGTATTTTAGCTTTTAAGGGTTTTAGCTTAAGGAAAAAATTCATTATTTAAAATCAAGGCTTCTTGTCCCTCGGCCTCATGATATTATGAAGATGAATAAAAAAAAATTTCTAATTTTTTTGTTTAAAAGAGTTTATTTATTGACATTGAGACATTGAGACATTCTTAGTGAATTTTTGAGTACTCAAAAAAACCCTTCTACTTTGACAAAAAATGACAAATATCCTCGCTTAAAATAATGTTTTTGAAACTCCCAAAAATGGCTATTATAATGAGTAACACACAATAAGATTATAATTTGGTTTGGAAAGGGAATCAACTCTTGNTTACTCATTAAAAGTGTGAGAGAGTACACAAAAACTCCGTCACACTTTTAATGAGTAACGCACAAATAGATTATAATTTGGTTTGGAAATCAATTCTTACTCGGGCTATATAATTTATAACTAGATTTTATAAACTTATGAAAACAATATCTTTTATCTGGAATTAGGGGTGGGGGCTGCAAATTCGTCATTGCCCCCCTCTTTCAGAAGAAAGGGGGGTGCACCTGCACCCTTGCACCCCCCCCCCTGGTTACGGGCCTGGTTGCGTTAGGGTCGTCATCAATGGAGTATGGACAAGTTATTTTTAAAGTTTTTAACCTCGCATGTTTTTTAATCCAAGGATTTTGGTGTTTTTGCCTTATTTTTCATATTTCACATGATATCACAAAACAAGCGTTTCCGGATGTTTACTTACTGGCGTTTATTGGTGTTCTTTGTTACTTATATAAGATTGGTACATTTTTGACAAAAAATATCGAACCCTGCTTTGCGTACATATATATCTATCATTATGCAAGGTTGTAATGCAAGGATAGTTAATTGCAGTTGTGTATACCCAAGTAACAATTTTGCGGAAAATCCGCGGAAATTCCCAGGAATCTTTCCTGGGAATCCGCGGAAATTCCCAGGAATATTTCACAGGAAAATCCGGTGAAAATATCGACAGCTTTTCCCAGGAATTTCTCGTTACCAATTCCGAGGAACCAGGTCTGAGGAATTTCTTGTAACCCATTCCGAGGAAATTCTCGTAACTCTATCCAAGGAATTTCTTGTAACCAATTCTAGGGAATTTCTTGTTACCAATTCTTCAGAAAAACCAGAGAAAATTTGTAGCAAAATGGTCTTCAGAACCAATTCCTGGGAATTTCCCTGGAACTATTCCCAAGATTTTCTCAAGAATTCCTCAGGAATATCTTGAAATATTCACTAACAAAAGTAGTGAATAACTTAGCAACTATATTGCCCCTCCAACTTTTTAGAAGTATAACCACCTTCTTAAGTCAGTGTGTTATAGTCGTTTTTGATATTACTGAAGTTGTCATGTATTTTGTTTATTCAGACAAGTGAATTGTCAAGAAAAAATTTTAAAAAAATGTTTTAAAATTTTTAAATATTTTTTAAAAGATCGTTCTGAAGTAAATTATCATTTTTTATCAATAAGGATACAAAGAAAAAAAGATTTAGTTTGAGCAGGGCATAAAAGAAGAGAACCTCAGAGACACCTATTGGTTAAAAACGGAACTTGAAAATTCTGTGAGGAAGTCCTGAGAATTTCTCAGGAATTTCCGGAGAAATATTCCTGAGAAATTCTTAGGAATTTCGTGAGAAAAATTCCTGAGAAATTCTCAGGAATTTCTCGAAACTTATTCTCTTATCTAATTCCCGAAAAATCTGTAAACTTGGTGACCAAGTTTTAAGAATTTCTCAGGAATTTCCGGAGAAGCATTCTGGAGAATTTCTCAGGAATTTCTTGGTGTGAAATTCCGGAGAAATTCCCAGGAATTTCTGGAAACTAATTCTTTTATTAAATTCCCCTTAAAATCCCTAAATATGGTGACCAAGTCCTAAGAATTTCTCAGGAATTTCCGGAGAAGTAGTCAGGAGAATTTCTCAGGAATTTCTTGGGGTGAAATTCCGGAGAAATTCTCAGGAATTTCTCGAAACTGAGTCTCAAAACTGTGATCCCACAAAAATCTCTAATCTTGGGGACCAATTCTAGGGAATTTCTCGAGAATTTCCGAGGAATCAGTTACAGGAAATGATTCTCGAGAAATTCCTCGGAAATTCCTCTAAGAAAGTCACCAGGGTTGGTGAATCTGGGGAAATTCCTCACTTTTGTTACTTGGGTACTCTGCGTACATGTTAAAACCAGTTCTCTCTTTGTAAATAATTGAATAGATGCATTAGTGTTCGTTTAGTATCCGAGGAGGATAAAAGCACTTAATTTGGATAATTTTGATCATTTTTGATAATTCACATAATAATTTCCTATTATCAGAATATTTCATTGATTTTTTATGTGAAAGATGGATCCCATGTTAGGCTTCGGCATCGGTCTTGTGTTTACATTACCGCCCAGAGACAGTACACTGCAGTACAAAAGATGCGTACACCTCTGAAATAACTTTCCTTGCATTACAACCTTGTCGTTATGTTTGATTCTCTTCATTCAGGGGCGGCTTATGAAACTTATCAGGTATGGGGGGTTGTAAAATATGAAGAGGTTATGTCGAGGAAGGGGTGGGGGCATACGGCCATGAGCCTATCAATATTCTGTTTGAACCCTGGTAGTTAGCAGAACCCTGCCCGAATCCTGCGGAATCCTTTTCGAGCCCATCAAAAGACTGCTCAAAAAAACTATTATTGATTAACTTAAAAAAGAAATAATTTCAAAAATAGAAACGTTGAGGAATAGGTTACAAACTCCTCTTAGGTTAAATTTAAATTTACTTTTGATGATTAAGTGTATATGTAAAATCTGGCTATACATGCATTTTGCAACTTATTATAATTATCATTCAAACCATACACCATTCATACTATGATATTTACAATTTTTTTTATAATTCATAATATACTTTCTACACATTTTTGTATGAATTGTGTATGGTTCGAATAATAAATGAATGATATATACTTTGGAGAAAAAAACTCAGCGGTTTAACCAGCGGTTGAGATATAGCCTAGACTCTACGCAGTTCAGAATAAGAAATGCATCTTTTTTTTCTCAAATTTAAAATTTGTTCAGCCGCTAACTTTTCTGATTTCAACCGCTGGTTTTCAGATTTTTCGGAACTTTTTTGCTTACAACCGCTGG